CAACAATACTACAGCGAGAATAAAAGTTACGCCTTCTTTCTTTAAGTGAACATTTGGGCAGCGTTATGCAAATTTTCCAACATCGTGACGTAGACATGTGGGGGCGTTTAGGTAGGCGTGGTTGACTCTTAACTTTTATAAAGAATATCTCTTTGGATTTGAGACTTTAGTCTTTGCATCTTTACAGATCTTCTTTATGCACCAAGAGCTTGTAACACTCCAAAGAGAAAGGAAAAATTTAAATCGCATCATATGACCCCTTTAAGTTCTGTGTGTAATAAAGTAGAATGACACAGGGAAAAAGTATTGAACACATGAAGAAAGGGAGGAGCAAAAAGGCATGGAAAGCCAAGACACCAGCAGAAATCTATCAGTAATTAGAAAGCAGTCCTGCCCCTTGTTAGTGGAAATAATTTTTGCTGGTTCAGTCTCAACTGTAGGCCTATAAAAAGGTGTCTCATGACCAACGTGTCACACAAGAAACATTTCATGATGGGTAAAAGTAAAGCGCTCTCGCAAGACCTTCACAACCTTATTGTTGCAAAACATACTGATGGCATTGTTTACAGAAGGATTTCTATACTTCTGAATGTTCCAGTGAGCACTGTTGGGCCCATAATCCGGAAGTGGAAAGAACATCATTTCACCTTAAACCGGCCACGACCAGGTGCTCCTCGCAAGATTTCTGACAAAGCAGTGAAAAAAATGATCAGAAGAGTTTTCTAAGAGCCAAGGACCACTTGTGGAGAGCTTCAGAAAGACCTGGAATTAGCAGGTACAATTGTTTCAAAGAAAACAATAAGTAATGCACTCGACCGTAATGAGACACCTTTTTATAGGCCAACAGTTGAGACTGAACCAGCTAATATTATTTCCACTGACAAGGGGCAGGATTGCTTTCCAATTACTGATAGATTTCTGCTGGTGTCTTGGCTTTCCATGCCTTTTTGCTCCTCCCTTTCTTCATGTGTTCAATACTTTTTCCCTGTGTCATTCTACTTTATTACACAGAACTTAATTTCTGAACTTATTTGTTTTTTGTTTGTATGTATGGATTACTTGGGTTGTTACCGACATCTGGTGAAAATTTCATTATATATATATATATATATATACACACATTTAAATGAATACAATATTGTAATATGTTTAAATTAATTATTATATAAAATAATTTTAGACTTTGAGTAGCTTGATGTAAAAACAACAACACTGCTAGTGGAAAAAATGAATGTCATTGAGGCCAGTTTTTTGTGTGATGAAAAACCCAACAGGAAGTGTGTTGAGCAGTGAGTTTGCGTGGGTATCCGTCACAAATGGCATCAAATGCTGCAATACACAGAAAAACATTGCATGTTATGAAAACATACTTCCAAGTACTGCATGAATATTCATGCACAATCATCTGATGACATTATCATGACGCCTGTCTTGGTTTTTTTCTAATACAGATAATAATCAGAGCCACGGAGAGAAAGATGAAGAGCCCAAATCTCCCTCTGAACAAGTCAAAGCCGGACTAAACGTCTGTCCCAGAGACTCGGGCTGTTATATCGGATCTGACTGTTCAGACAACAGTAAAGAGGACACAGAGACCCAGCCGGCCCCTCTCAGCCCACCTGCAACCCAAGCATAACCACAGCCCTGCATAATGCTGTTCATCTCGTCCTCGCCTGCCTCTGGTTGGTGCAAAGACTGTTAGCCGCCGGCCACAACCTTTTTGACTGTGTAAAGCAGCCTTTGTGTTTCAGAGCTGTTGCATTAAGGTGTCTCTGACGACACTGGATTCTCACATCATGGACACTGTGAGAAGTAGTTATAGATATGAAAGATGACATGTAAATATACTGTAAATATGGTGAAAGTGGTGATGCTTTGCTCTTGTAAACCGTTTAAACTTTGCCTTGCAGATGCTAGACAAAATGACAAACTATTGAGATTACAAATGCATTATTTTCATGCAATAAAAAGATATCTTTATATCGTACTAATTTCATTCGTTACATATGTCAGTCATATTAATATAGCGATACAGATGGTACAGATGGGGCTTATGTCAGTGGCTTCCTGAAACTAAAAGTGATGAGATCAGTAACACTCAGTAATAACGTGCTGTCATATAGTGTGAGCACTTACTAACTACAGCCATAAACAATAAGAAAACGCCATCTTTTACATGAACGATGAGAATGTAACTCAAAATTGTTGAAAAATGTTTGGCAAAATATAATCTAAAATATGTTGGTCTTAAAAATAACAGGTAATACTTTATAATAACATTAACAAATATAAAAATGGTTTATTAATCATTAGTTAACGCACATTCAGATATGTAAAATTGACTTAAACTTTGATTCATCGAGTTGATTTTTTTAATATGCATGAACTACAGACTTTTTAAAATGATTATACACTACCGTTCAAAGTTTTGGGGTCAGTAGGATTTATTCAAATGTTTTTACATCGCTTATGTTCACCAACATTGCATTTATTTAATCAAAAATACAGTAAAAACTGTAATATTGTGAAATATTACTGCAATTTAAAAGAACTATTTTCTATTGTAATATATTTATATATTATATATTTGATATCTATTTTCCTATATATTTTAAAACAGTTGGGCTGCTTAATATTTTCCCTCAGATAAAAGTCTAGTTCCTTTCCACTCAAGTGTCTGATAACTTTAGTGACATTAAAATTGAAAACAAAACAAAGATGAGATCAAATACATTTAAATGTTTTTTTAAATAAAAAGTCAAGTTTGATCAATTTAAAGCATCCTTGCTGAATAAAAGTATTACAATCTCACTGACCCCATGAGCCATTTATATCAATTTGTTCTGCTTGTGAATAAATATAGCCAATGTGTTACCTATACAATATACAATAAAAACCTGTGATGTTTTGAATTACCATAAGTACCATTCTGAGAGACTAAAAAAATAGGCCTGTCTACTGCAGCACAGGATGAACTGAGCCAGTTTGTGCACAAAGTGGCTCAATTTACCTGACTTCACTTGATATACTGCTTCATTTCCAGTAATAATTCCCTTCAAAACCCATTTGAACACCTCATGAAAAACACTCTTGACGCAATTCAGAGATTTCATTACAAAATAAATCACTTAAAAAGACATCGATACAGCGATGTAAATGAAAACTGATCTTCATCTAGTGCAATGAGATACGAATCACCAGCAAGCAAATCACGTTACAAAAATAAAATAAATAAAAAATAAATAATCATATCAGCCTACAGTCAAGCTTTACAAGGGCTAGCTTGAGGTTCAAAAACCATCTCTGAACCTTTGATTTCTGCATGCTTTTAACATTAAATCCATTCATCTTCAGTCTGTTCTTCACAAACATTAATAATAGGACACTTTTATTACCTGCTTTCATCAGATTGGACTCTAAACTTTACAGTGTACAATAAGCCAGCTCCATTTTAAATACGGTTCGATGCAGAAAAAATACATCAGTACGTAAGGCATCAAAGCAGAACACTGAATCAGTGGCATACAGTCCCAGAGTGTCCATGAACCAACGAAAACCATTCAAAATAATCCACTGGAGATGAAAAAGCAACTCAGTCTAAATGAATGATTTTGAGCTCGAGATGTTCGATCCATAAAATGGATTCAAGTCGTCACTAAAGTTTGCTTGCATGACGTGCGGGCATCATGATGTCATCGCATGCATAAGCGTCCAGACCGTTTTCTGTGTACACGGACAGCTCATCTGTGCTCCCCACACCGTTGCTGATCTCTGAAACCAGCACAAAACTCATTAGCCAGAGTTTCACAGGGCAGATTTCTCCACTAGCAGGCACTTATTTCTGAATCACTAGCTGAGTATGTGAATCATCTTAACATTATTTTAAAACATTTTGGTTGGCTTCAATCATATAATGTTTCACTGGAGCTGTAATAACTCCAGTAAACTCTTAAGATATTACTAATATTGATATGAAATATTAATAATATTTGTGCGTAATATTAGTAATATTTGTTACGCTTATACAAATGTTTGAAAGCAACACACACACATACACGCATATATAAATAAATAAATAAATAAATATATATATATATACACACACACTGTATGTGTGTGTATATATATGTGTGTGTGTGTGTTGTTCTGTAATTTGTAAATTGATATATTTATATGGCAAACCTCCACATATAAGTATACACACACACACACACATGCATTAATTTTTTTATATATACAGTATATATATATATATATATATATATATAGGCCTATACACACACACACACATGCACATATACATTAATTAATTTAATCTTTAATTAATATTTATTCACATGCATTTAAATTTTTTTTATTTCTGCACAAGCCAAATGTTGTCATTGAATCAATATTTATATATAGATGAATTACGGTATATTTATATATTTATTTATAAATCATGTTATCATATATTTTTATACACGGAGACACACACATTTAATTAATTAAATTACTTTATTAGACAAACCTTCACATTTAAGTCATATGTATATATATATAGATTTATGTTGTTATTTTGTTGTTGTTCTCAAACTCATGTTTATATATAGATTTATTATTTATATATATATATATATATATATATACATACTGGTAAAAAATGTATAACCTGAATGCACTGTAAGTCGCTTTGGATAAAAGCATCTGCTAAATGCATAAATTATTATTCATTATATATATATATATATATACACACACACACACACACACATTTATTTATATAGAATTTTGGAAATAATTTTGTTATAATATTATAAAATATATATTTAAAAAAAAAATCACAAAAAAATGTTTCTTATTTGTTCATGACACCTAATGCATTAACTACTGTTTTATCTTATTGTAAAGTGTTATCATATGCAGATATGAATACAGATATTGATGGTGTATTATGATCACCACCAGGGGACGATGTACCACAGCCATATGCAGAGGTCACAGAGAGTTAATTTGCTCTGAGGCTTTATTAACCAGGCTTTATCTCCACACAGCTGTGTGCTCAGGAGTCTCACCTGAGAAGATCAGTTTCTCCTTCATGAGGTTGACGTCACGACTCGGCCGACGTACTACAGCACTTAGCATGATCTGCTCCGGGTTGTAGCTGCGCATGCCACTCATCTTCCACCTGAGGAAAAAATGACCAAAACACACTTCTGAGGGTCTGAAAGTGCCAAAAAGTTCTGGCCACTAAGTATTAGATCTTGAGATATTTGATGAGAAAGTGAGAGAGAACGCTAGAAGGGTTCAAAAGGATTGAGGAAAAGAGCGACACTGAGGTAAAAACACACAAGAATGATAATTACTGGAACAAAACACAACCAACAACAAACACAAACAGAAAAAAAACTGAACGAATAAAGACCAAAACAGTCAGAATTCTGTCCCTAAAATACTCATCCTCATTACCTGATCAGGTGATAGCTGAGCAATTTCAGCGAGCAGCGGAGGACAGGCACATGCAAAGAGCAGAGGACAGAGAGATAATGGAGGGAAAGTAGAGAGTGCCAAGAAGAAAAGAGCAGAGCCATCAGTTGAAAAGCACCCGGCCGCCCAGCAGAGATATAGCAAGCATGCTAACTACAAAACAACCTAACATTAACGCCAAGGACTGCTCTGAAAATCAAATAGGCTTTCGTGCAAATGTGTGCAATTAAAGCCATTAACTGACACGGCAAAAAAGCTTCCAGAATTAACAAGTATTAAGAAACAGCTTGAAGGACATACTAAAAGAGATTCACTTACTTCTGAAATATGAAGATGCCAATGACAGTCGCCACAGAGATTAAATCTGAAGTGATCCATATCAGGCCATATTCATCTGCACTCTACAAACCGTTAAAGCAGCATTTAGCCATTAGATATCAATGTAAATACATTAAAAAAAGCAAATGAGGGGAAAACAATACAGGCAGAATCCCAATCAAATAAAATTGTAATATATAAAAAATTATATATACTATAGATAGATAGATAGATCTCTAATGTGTCTAAATATTCAGCCTTCAGTACTATTTCCAGGGAAGTATTCCAAAGCTTTTTGGTGCTAATTTTGTCCACAAACTCTTGCACTACAGATTTTTCTGATGCAAATGTATGCAACCATTTGCAACATTATTTCTCAAAACTGATCTTGCAACACATATAAAGCATGCCGATTTTAAATCTACAGTATTCTGTGGAACGGATGTTAAAATGTGTTAAACAGGGCCAAGATTCACTACATCCTCCTTGAAAGCTGACAGCATAATCAAATGAACATCCGGCCAATGTGTAGGACTTCATGAATGACAAGCGTTCCAAATCTGTGGGAAACTGGCCTGCTTTTGAGTGTGTACTTGAGCGTGGCCAGTAGAGTATGTACTTTTCGTACGTAATAGGAGTGTGTGAACTGGGATTCAGCCAGAGTGAGATCAGTACCATGATCCAGATAGGATTAGGCACTTTCTTCAGGATGTGTGGAGCATCAGAAGAGACGGACTGAACCCCGCTGCACCACATGAGCGAATACAGCCACGGCTCGTTCACCGGATACACGTTCACACTCACATTACTGCCAGAAAACTGCCTGCTCACAACACACACATACACAGAGAGGAAGCTTGCTTGGTAAAAGTATTGCAGAACAAAACCTCATGCCTACTTTCATATAAATGAAACAATAAAATTGATGATAAAATATATGTATGTATGCATGCATGTATAAATTTAAACTTCACACATTAAAATATATATTACATATAATTCTAAATGCATCATAGTAATAAAAATAACAATAAAAATGAGTTCTCAAAACATTAAACAGACCCATAAATGATCTAAATACATCTATTAAAATTGATCAAATATTTTAATTTGACATTTCACCTTTTCATATTTTAAATAACTGTATGCCATATGATAACTCCATATTAACATTTTAATATACTATGATTTTACCGTAATAGCAATAGCTGGCTGGTTATGATGTTGTATTTCAATGCAAAATGCTTTCAGTATGCTATTTAATACAGACTGAGAAAGGCAGATGTCTGCTGACTTCTGAATGTGTGTGTGTGTGTGTGTGTGTGTGTGTACCTGATATCCTGAGCTCTGGCCTGGCTGTAGTGCAGGGTCAGAGAACTGATCCCTCTTTCTTTCAGCTCAGCCACAGGAAGTTTCTCATCTGACGTCTGCTGAAGGAGAGGAACCGCTGCACGCACCTTCTTCCTGTACCAGTCAGGAGTCCACATCACCTACACACACACACACACACACACACACACACACAGACACAGAGTAGCTAATTAAGCACTTTTCATATTTTTCTGAACATTACTGAATATTAAAACTATTAGACAACATTTCAACTAATTATATAAAACTGGTAAATATTTATTTATTGCTCAATATTTAAAATTTAGAATGAATAAGACATTAGACGAGATTTCTAATTTCTTCAAGTCATATAAAAATAAATACATACATTTTTATTTTAGATGAATTCATTGGTTATCTCATAAACTAGCTTAGAAAGACCTTTTCTAATATTATACATTTATTAGGAATATTTTATCAATATTTAAAATGGAGTTAGAAGATTTAGATGGAATAATAGGACATATTTCCGCTAAATATATAAGAATAAATACACACATTTTTAAATATTAAATATTTTTAAAAGCTTTTGAATTTTTGGCACATGAAATAGTTGATAAAAGTCTTAAAATCTTTTTAAGATTTTGTTGGAATAAGACATTAAACAACATTTCAACAAATTATATAAAAATATATAAAAAGTATATTATAAATATAAAATATTTTTAGATGAATTCTGAATTTCTTAGAATTGTTGGGCACATAAAGCAGCTCATGAAGGTTTTTTTCAACTGTTAGAAGCTTATCAAGAATATTTTTCCTTAATATTTCAGATTTAGACTGAATAAGGCATGATAGACAACACTTCAACAAATTTTCACTGTTCAGATGTTGGTTTAAGATGGTCTTTAGACGACAATAGATTTTTTTTTTTTAAATGCTAAGTGTGTAAATGTATGTTGTGTGTGTTTTGTGCTCTCACCTGTTCTGGTAGGATGCTGGATCTCTGAATGACCTTCAGTGCATCACTGACCCAGAGCTGGTGTCGGGGGTGTTGAGGTGGAGGTCGCCGCAGGCTGAAGATCACGGAGCGGTTTGTTCTAGCAGCCAGACGCAGCAGCTCCGTGAGGCTACACACCGTCTGATTGGCCGTGCGGTTGTGATCCTTTTCAGACATGTACTGCACCGTCCAGTACGGGTCATCCTGAGGGACAAACAACCTCAAAATCTTTATTAACTGTGAAGATGGACAAAAGAAATAAGGAAGGAATCAAATTTTAATACCCTGAGGAACCAAAGTCCAGCATTGAGACTGCGAATCTCTGTCCAGTTAAAGAACGAGGCGTCGTGGTCCTGACGGGCTGGAAACAGTTTGCCCACATTGGTGGTCCTGCGTAGTGTGCGGTCCCTCATCAAAAAGGGCACTCCATCCAGACTAAAGCAAAAAAACAAAACATCCAATCACATTGGAGTCAGGTTACTGCGAGCAAATTAGAGCTGCTGCCATTCTTTCCTCACATTCAAAAAGATACGATAAAACAAAATAAAATAAAATATAAAATAAATTACTATTAATTCAAAGAGGTATGATAAAATAAATAAATAAATAAACCAGATAAATACCACAAATTAAAAATAAATCAAATAAAATAGAACAGATTATGATTCATTCAGGTATGAGAGGTATGTTTCATAAAGTAATAATACCTGATGGTAACATCTGCTTCCAGGGCAGTGACCTTCTGTTGCAGTGCTTTACTGAAGGACATAATGGTGTGTTCTGGAGCGAGCTGAGAGAGAGAGGAAGAGTGTAATGGGAGTTACTATCTTAACACTCCTTCGAGGAAGTCAAACAAACCGGTTAAATCTTCATTGTACAATCAACTTAATGTTTAGAAAGAGTGTAAGTGTGGCTCTCTACAGCAGGGACACACGATCCTTCCAGCGCTTTCTAACTGTTGCTAAACTTCAGAGAGAAACCTGGATGCCAAACATCTGGCCTGAAAAAACAGGATTATGAAACTCACCATTGGAGCTCCACGACGGCCAATGACAGCAGGACGAGGACCGAGCTTGGACCGGTCCATGATGCAGGGAGAAGAGATGAAGAGGGGAACCAGATACAGAACCAGGAGGATGCTCACATAAATCACCAGCGTCACAAATTGAAGCCCTGGATAAACACACAAACATATGCAAAAAAAAAAAATTTCAAAAACCGTCACCACTGTTTAAAAGGTTTGGATCAACAATCTTTTTTTGCACACCTAGGCTGCATCTATTTGTTCAAAAATAAAGTAAAAACACTAATATTGTGAAATATTATTACCATTTAAAAGAACTGTTTTCTATTTTAATATATATTTTAGGATGTGATTTATGTCACGTGATCCTTCAGAAATCATTCTAATATGCTGATTTGCCACTCAAGAAACATTTCTTATTATTATCAATGTTGATAACAGTTGTGCACTTAATATTTTTGTGGAAACAGAATTTAAAAAAAAAAATTTTTTTTATTAATACAAAGTTCAAAAGAATAGCATTTGTCACACATTTGATAAACTGAATACATCCTCACTGAATAAAAGTATTCCTTTCTTTCAAAAACAAACAAACAAGCAAAAACTTACTGAAGGGTAGTGCACATATATTTTACAATTACATGTTGTCAAAGTGTAGGGGCCGTCTTATCTTTGACCCAGTCTGTCTTTTCCCCTCACATGACCTTCAACTCACTTGATCTTTCCATGCGCACCACCTGATTGGCGATGACCCACCCTAATGCTGTGACCGCAGCTAAAGCTCCGATGTGTAGGAACGGCCCTGTGAACTACAACAGCAAAAACATACAATTCATTGAATTACTTGTCAAAAAATTTCTCAAGACACTGGACAGTAATATGCTGATGAGGTTGCTCCAACCTGCAGAGAAATGATGACAATGTCCCATTCGTCCTGCCAGAAATCATCAATGGACACCACTCCTGTTATGGTGGAGAGCAGAATGGCCAGAACTACAATCTGTAGGAAATAAAACTTGTTTTAATATACATTCAGAACTTCAGTCTAGTTCTAGGCTTAAACAGATTTCCAACCTGGTCTCACCTTATGGATCCAGAACAAATTAAGCTGCTGTCCCAGTGCAATGTGACAAAGTGCAAGAATCTGAAAAAAGAAATAAAAATACAACAGCAAATTATAAATAAAATAATAATTAAAAATAATACATAAATATAAAAGTAATAAAAAAAATGAACTTTTCTAAAGATATTGTGTTGTATTTTCTATATAACAATAACATCAATTATGATAAAAAATATTATTATATTAAAAAATATGTGTGTGCACAATTATTAAGGCTACAATGGTGATGTTTTGAACCAACAAGCAGTCAGTCATGGCTTCACCATGTGAATGCGACAATTAAAAGGCCATAAAAAGTTTAAAGGCAGCTCACTTTCTCTATGCCACATGTGCACGTGTGAAGAGCGCTCACCATTAAAAATGCAGTGTAAGTGAATCCTGTGAGTGTTGTGGCGAGAATGGGGACTGTGCCATCCTTCCAAATGGCCGAACGATTATATAACAACCTGCCAGAGAAACAAAACCCTCAGCTCTCATACCAGCAGGGATAAAAAAAACAAAGCATGCTTTACATACATGAGGCTTTCCAACACTTAGGGCCAGTTTTACTAACAACTTGCGCCAGCGCAAACTGTCTTTTGGCATTAAAATAGTATTGTCAGGATTTACTAAAGACGCACAGTGACGAATTAGCACTGAAAAGGCATGGACACAGTTATATTTGCGCATGACCTTATTGAATATGCATTTGTAGGCAGTAGTGGCTCGTCGGGGGAGGCAGGGGAGGCACAGCTTGCCCATAATTTTGAGGTGAAAATGGGAGGAGGACGATTTAATGTTAATAAAATTCACAATTCATTTCAGTTCATGTCTCAGAATGTGTATTTTTTGTTTGTAATTTCACAGCTGTAATACCATAACATGTTAATGAAGTTGGAAAGCGCCGCTTTTCTATCGGGAATGTGCCGAATCTGCTGATGTAATTACAATTGCTACGTGATAGAGAAGGGAAGGGGGAGGCTCTCGTGCCTCCATTGGTAAAAACAAATTAGCCAATCACCATTGAATGTTCACTTTCAGCACTGAGGAGTGTTGAGAAAAGAAACCTTGCAAGGGAGGCTAGCCTCCCTTCTGATATCAACCAATCATCATAGAGATGTAAATTACATGATATTAGTTTGAACGTCTGCCGCTGCGCTGATAATGTACCATACGAGTAGCGATATTGAATATTTGAATGCCAACAGATTTACCAAGCTGTCATTCAAACAGTATATATACAAATTTAAAAAAAGGGAAAACACGCCTAAGCTGGATATAGGCTACAGCAGTCAGCTTAATTGAATAGCACAACAGGCAGCTCTCTTTTAACACAGACTTTTAAGAAGGGATGAATGTTTGCTTCAAGTGATAGGCCAGGTAAGTGAAATTATATTATCTTGCTGTATGCGTGTCGTTTTCTTTACGTTTTCTGACTAAAAGCAACCAAAAAGCTATTTTAAAGTGGTTAGCAAATAATAATAATAATTGGCAGCGATCCCAGACCAATACAATTAGTGTGCCTCCTCTATTTTAAATGGGTCATATGATGCGATTTCAATTTTTTCTTTCTCTTTGGAGTGTTACAAGCTCTTGGTGCATAAAGAAGATCTGTAAAGTTGCAAAGACTAAAGTCTCAAATCCAAAGAGATATTCTTTATAAAAGTTAAGAGTCAGTCACACCTACCTAAAACGTCTCGTTCTAACACGCCCCCACATGTCTATGTCACGATGTGGGAAGATTTGCATAACGCCGCCCAAATGTTCACGCAAAGAAAGAAGGCGTAACTTTTATTCTCGCTGTAGTATTGTTGTTGCCACCTCCGCCATGTCGTGAAGGCGCTGTGTTTCTTTGTGAAAGCAAAACTACTTTGTTTGGTCTTCCAAAAGAGGACGATATCCGCTTCGTCATGCCTACAGCTGATCCGTGCTGGTCGCTGAGGAAATACATCAACTTTGCACTGTGGATCGCCAGATCGGCTTTCACCGTGGACGAAGCAGAGTTCAGCCCGGGGTCGTCACATGTGGTTGCCGCAAGCCCGCTGGACGCTCCTTCGTCGAATCCGCTGGCCGTGCCTTTCTCAAGCCTGCCGCCTCTGCTCACTCAAGCCGGCCTCCGCTCACTCAAGGCCGCGGTGTGTGACGCTGTTTCGTTGTGAAAGCGAAACTACTTTGTTTGGCCTTCCAAAAGAGGACACGACTAGAAATCAGTGGTTAAGTTGTATTTACAACACTGTTCCAGAACACTTCAACCCAAATATTCAGATGTGTGCAGCGCATTTTATGGAGGACTGTTTCCTGATCCTGGTAGAGTAGACTACAACGCCGGTTGTTCTGACTCACAGACTGTAAGTACGTTTTTTATATTTAAAGAATTTGCCACTGACGATTCAAACGCGGGTTTTGAGCAGTGTAGAGTAGCATTTGTAGTTTGTAATTTCTTAGATCACAAATGCAGACATGGTTTTATGTTTACGCGGCGCGATGCTATGCAACGCGTAAAAAGACAGTATAAGTCATTATAATCCATAATTATGTCCCCACTGGATGCAACAAATGCCTAGTTTATAATGGGTTTTAATGTTTTTGTCTCGTCGCTCCGGCCGGACAGGGCATCACAGTATGGTGAGGGGCGTAACATTTCCGTCACACGCTTGAGGTATTCGGCCAATCACAACGCACTGGATAGCTGGCCAATCAGAGCACACCTCGCTTTTCAGACCGATGAGCTTTGTAAAAATCAACGCATTTCAGAAAGGCGGGGCATAGAGGAGAAACAATAATGTACAGTATGTGGTAAATAATGTGTTTTTTAACCTTAAACCGCATAAACACACAATTAATTTATTTGGAATGCCAGATTAACACATTATCTGAACATATCGTTTGCCAAGCCATGTTATTTTTAATTTGCTTCAGGAAATAAAAGACGACTTGGAACCCTCAACTAGGAGTCACACAATACCAGGTCTATCAAAACTTCTTGCAACCCTACTTTTTTTGGCCTCTGGCTCTTTTCAACGTTTTGTGCCTTTATTCTTTATTTGTGATTACGGTAATTTGCGCTGCGCTTGGTACCTTGCGTTGGTCGATATGTAAATGAGATGTTGCGTCTGTGTTCTTTAATTTGCGCGTTGTTAGTAAATCACCCGCAGAAATTTCCACGCTCATCGGCACGGTTTTGGAATTGCGTTCTATCGCTAATTAGTCCGGTTTAGTAAAACTGGCCCTTAGTGTGTAAAATTAATTCAGAAATTTGTTAAGCAATCCATGTTTGCGAATATAACTAAGAGTAATCCTTGCAATAAAACTAGAAAACTCATAAAACATGCTCTAGCAATGAAATGTGCAAACATGGCTTGCTGTCAGCTTCGTGGTGAGGACACACAGCGGGGTTCAGTTAATGACCAGCTGATGTCATTGCTAAAACAGCAGGTTCCTCCAAACATCAGGCTGAACTCACCAGTTGAACTCATTGTAGTCATTACGAGCCTCCAACCAGAAGTAGGACCAGACGAGGAGAAGGAGAAACGAACAGCAGAGGAGGAAAAACCATGAACATTCCCACTGAAAAACAAAAACAGGAAGTGATGTAAACACATGTGTCCTCCAGACAGACATTTATTCATTTAGCAGACACTTTTATCCCAATGAAGAATGTTACAAATCAGACAGATGTCAAACCAACAGTCAGTGACAGTCCTGACAAGACTTTATTTTTTATTTATATGATTCCAAATTTGGACTTTTAATAGCTCTCTTTATATCCTTCACAACATGTTCACATCTGAAACCCTAGGGCTTTACAATCAGCACTTCATATCAAGTGTGGCAGGGGATGTAAAAAGCCGCTGAGATCAAATACGTAGCTTTTAAGATGTCTTAATGTTGTAAAGAGCATGATCAAATGTGAGCTTAAGTAACTAATAAGTTTAAGAACAAAATGACAAGAATTTAATTAAATTCCTTCACCACAGAAACCACACACTGTTCCGCAGCGAATTATAGCAGCAACGGAACATTTTCAGCACAGTGGGATCTTTCAGAAAGAGAGAGAGAGAGAGAGAGAGAGAGAGAGAGAGAGAGAGAGAGAGACGGAGCAACAAAACCCGGGTCCGCATGGCCTGGCACCAAAGCATGTTTCCTGGGAGACCAGGCAAGGTCGCTGCTGGAGATTGAGAGGGCGGAGCTTTATTGTTAAAGGGTGATGTAATAATCAAACTTGTCTCGGTTCACCTGGTGCTGAGAGTGAAAAGATTTCACTCAGTGAATGACTGTGTGTATTCAGTTGTTTCTGATTTTGAAATGTTATTCAGAAACCTGTGGCATACTACACCATAAAAGTAATAAAAAAATATACATAAATAATATTAAACTTTTTCCAGATGTACATGTTAAATGACATGACAATGCTCACAAGCTTGTTTGTAGAAGGAAAAGCAGCAAGAACATGGAACAATGGCTGGAGTTTAAGTACTGAATCTGTCAGATATCACTCAGATTTCATTTGGACAAGGATGTAACTAATTACACTCTTTTTTTTAAAGGGGTCATATGATGCTGCTAAAAAGAACATTATTTGGTGTATTTGGTGTAATGAAATGTGTTTATGCGGTTTAAAGTAAAAAAAACACATTATTTTCCACATACTGTACATTATTGTTTCTCCTCTATGCCCCGCCTTTTTGAAACGTGTCAATTTTTACAAAGCTCATCGGTCTGAAAAAGCGAGGTGTGCTGTGATTGGCCAGCTATCCAGTGCGTTGTGATTGGCCGAATACCTCAAGCGTGAGTCGGAAATGTTACGCCCCTCACATTCTGTTGATGCCGTGTCCGGCCGGAGCGACGACACAAAAACATTAAAACCCATTACAAACGAGGCATTTGTTGCATCCAGTGGGGACATAATTACTGATTATAATGACTTATACTGTCTTTTTACGCGTTGCGTTGCATTGCATCGCGCCGCGTAAACATAAAACTCTGTCTGCATTTGTGATCACAGATCAGCTCCAGGCATGACGAAGTGGATATCGTCCTCTTTGGAAAGGCCAAACAAAGTAGCTTCGCTTTCACAACGAAACACACAGCGCCTTCACGACATGGCGGCAGTGGCAACAATACTACAGTGAGAATAAAAGTTACGCCTTCTTTCTTTGCGTGAACATTTGGGCGGCGTTATGCAAATCTTCCCACATAGTGAGGTAGATATGTGGGGGCGTGTTCAAACGAGCCGTTTCAGGTAGGTGTGGCTGACTCTTAACTTCTATAAAGAATATCTCTTTGGATTTGAGACTTTAGTCTTTGCAAATTTACAGATCTTCTTTAGGCACCAAGAGCTTGTAACACTCCAAAGAGAAAGGAAAAAATTAAATCGCATCATATGACCCCTTTAAATTAAATAGGCTAGTTTTTTGCCCAAGAAAATTCTGTTGATTCTAATTTTCATGAACCGCAAGTACTCAACACTTCAACTAGGAATATAGTATGTATATGACTTTGAAAGACATGTTTTTTTTGTGATTATTTTGCAGTACATGAATATGTTGGGTAACGCAAGGTGCAGAGAGACATCTAAGTTGAGTTAGCAGATCAGATGGCTTGCATCCTGCTGGCACTCACCCTTTCAGAACCCCAAAAGACCTTTCGTTCCTGTGGAGGTGTGAAATAGATCTAATGATCTAATGACAACGTCCTGAGATTCTGTAAGTGATTCGTTCAAATGCAGGGTGAATTAGGGTAACTTTTGACTTCTCACGCCATCACCTCACATTACAACCCAACTAGAATATCCTGATGTTTTGATTTGCTAATGATATTTTAATGTATTTGAAGAAAGAAGTCTCTTATGCTGACCAAGACTGCATTTATTTGACCAAACAAATACTGCAAAAACGGTAATATTATGAAATATTATTACAATTTTGAAGAACTGGTTTCTATTTGAATATATTTGAAACTGTATTTATTCTTGTGATGTAAAGCTGAATTTTCAGCATCATTACTCCAGTCTTCAGTGTCACACGATCCTTCAGAAATAATTCTAATAGGCTGATTAGGTTTTCAAGAAACATTTATCAATGTTAAAAACATCTGCTTAATATTTTTCTGGAAAGCATAATAAATTTTTTCAGGATCCTTTGATAAATAGAAAGTTCAAAAGAACAGCATTTATTTTATATATAAATCTTCCTTATTATTACAGAAGTCTTTACTCTCATTATTGATCAATTTAATGTGTCCTTGTCTAATAAAAGTATTAATTTCCTAAATAAAAAAGAAAGCGTTAAAAATATACATATCAGAGCTAGTCATTCCACATTCCACATCACCCAATGTCTCAGATGACCCCTATTCACCCTACATTGGACCACTGATTGACAACTTAAATAAAACTGAAAGATGTAATTGCATTATGAATATGAAGACCAATGACTATTATTTCCAACAAAACACAACTCAACGTTTTTGCACCAACTCTGAGATTTCAAAGACCACAACAACAGTCATCTGACATGTCTTAAATACAATTCCCAACAATAACAGCTCGCGTATAGTTTTCTAGTGATTCCACACACCCTGACAGAGAACTGAATAATGCACTGACTCATGTTTTATTGGTCTGTGGATTGTGGTGGAGTCACTCTACAGTGGAGGACACATTTCACTGTTCTGTTCATTCATTCTGCACAGCTGACAGCTGCTAATCCCTCAATCCCATCAGCTCCTCCAGACCTGCTCATGAGCACATCGGGTAGGACACATCGTCACCCTGCTCTAATTATAGAGTGGGCGGGGCTAGCAGTGATGACACAAAGTTAAACCAGCCAATGGCAGAGCTTCTGAAGAGTTCGTTCTCAATGCTGAGGTGTTATACTTCAGAGAGCCTGTTCAAATAGAGAGATGAACTAATGGCCATGGGTGTGCGAGTGTGTGTTCACTCCCGAAGGAGCATTTATAACAACTTGTGGGGAGGTGAAAAGAAAGTACAAAAACCCACAAACTGAATCATCACGAGCTTCAAACTGGATAGAACATGGAAAAGAATAAACAGATCAGAACTGAATACTACAATACTGCTGACTGCACAGTAAAAAGTATATATGGTCCACAATAATAATATAATAACAATAAATTGCTTTAGCAAATATAAATAAATAAATAAACAAAACATTTCAAGCAATGCAGTATCTTAGGAAAACATACCAGAAAAAATCCTACAGCGCCAGAGAATAAACAATACGTCAGTAATAATTGCAGGAATCTGTAGGTCGACAGTAATGTGACTTAACCACGCCAAGTGAAATACAAAGCAAAAAAATCTTTTTTGACAGCATTTAACAAGACAATGAAATAAAAATTATTATATGCGTATATATGTTAATGTTGACAATTATTATTTATTTATGTATTTAATTATTTTTCCTTTAGCGGTATCATTGATATTGGATAGTTAATTCTTCATGCTTATTTCACCAATTTTTATATTTAGATTACCTTTGCCATAATCTAAGGCTCCCTTAAAGTTAACATTTAAAAACAACAATAATTTAATAACACTGTTAAATGCAATATTAAGCAAATTGCATAATTTTTTCATTTATTTAGACAAAATAGTAAAAAAAATTATATCATGACAATATTGTAAGATTTTAGCATGGTAATGGATATGACATTGTTAATGTATTTGGTCTTGGCAGAACAGATTTGCTAAGCTTCTGCTGCTGAATTGCTGCTGCTGTTGGTTATTACTGTAGTTGTAGATTATTGCTGCTGCTGCTGCAAAGCAAGTACAGGAACTTGATACTGCAAATTCATACGTCGATACGGTGCTGTGAATATTTAAGACATACAGTACTGCTGCATAAATAGCATAATATAATAACCCATAGCAGGTCTATACAGGTGGAGCTGGGGAAGGTGGAGGGTTTCAGAGGAACTCTGAATGCTAACCAGCCATAATAACCTAAAGCAGCAAGCTTATTGGCTGCGTATACAATATGAACCAATCAGCGTGTGCCAAGTAGTTTAATGCTGTGAATATCATCAGTTTGCATTAACGACCCATCAGCCTTCGCCATCTAGAGTTTCATGACAGAACTTGACATTAACATTTATTGACCATTTATGGGTTATTGACCATAACACAAAAATAATTATAAGCTTACTTGCATCAAGCAACGTTTAAATAATGGTGCATCTTTACTGGGAAAATGATCAGAATTGTATGTAGACTTTTTTTTCTATTCATCCAAAAGTAGTAAGTACTGGTTATTTTGTACCTACAAATAACTTCAAAATAAAGAAGAATATGCAGTTATGCCACCAACCTGGTCAATCAGATAATATTTAGCTGGACCACTCACTCTTCTTGCCAGTTTTGTGTTTAATTTGCATCTGACAGTCAGTGGATGGTCAGTAAATGGTTAAGAGCAGGTCCTACAGGACTCTGTGTGACAGCAGCTCTTTGATTATGAGAGACACACATACAGAATTCTAGGTTTTACAGAATCAGATATTCAGATGCGAACCGACAGAGGCAAAGCGGCCCTCTCTGTCAGTCTGCAGTCACCATATTCCCAAAGTTCAGTTCAGCATACTGTCAATCACAAACCTTTGAATTTTCTTTAATTACAACTTATGACTCTAAACATGTCAGAATGACTGAGATGGCCAATCAAATCAAAGAATTTTGGCTGATACTGTTTACATGAATTCACGTACAGTAGAACACTTCAGTTTTAGCAGATAAAGATCACAAAGGAAGATGTAAGTAACTAAATATTTAATATCTGACAGCTGATTTACAATAGAAATGTTGAAAGACTGACAATAATATCCAGTCATGAAAACTACTCAACTTTTTAGTCAAATGTCACGCTTTTAATTCAGAACCATAGGCTGTCATTTACATGATTCATGGAATTAACAACCAAATGTGACTAGACAAAAAACATTAACAGAGCCATTTTTGGCTTTTAGGCATACATTAAGAGTGAATGTGGAAATTTAAAAAGTGTGTAATTTAAAATAAAAATATTATTTTCAAAAAATTTGAATTAATTGCTTTGCAATAAATTCTAATTATTTTACTGTTCTTCTTTATTCCCTTAAATCCCTTTAAATCCTTTAATTATGTAATTAATAAATAAAAAGACCATTACTGGTAAAACTTGGTTATTTTAATCTGAAATTCTTTTGGAATGATGTAAAGGCATAACTGATTTCCCTCAAATAATACATAAACCCATCACAAACCCATAAGTCAGTCACTGACCCAGCATCACCACACCAGATGCTCCAATAAAAAACAACAGATTTCAATGACAGTAATCAAAGAGGGCTAACACCCAGCCAGCAGATTTGATCTTTGTCCACCAGAAGCACCCACTCAGACAGATTAGCATATCATACATAACTCTCATACACAAACAATCTACTACGAGTCTTCATTAGTCATTTCCTCAAAAAAATCCTGCTTCATATTCCATAATAATTGTATTCCTTTGACTCATTTGGAACAGACATTAACATTTGATCCCTCACAAGCCATCCCATAACCGCAGTTCTTCAAGTCACGATGGATGTGTCACAAATCGATATGAAAATGCTAAAATGAATGCGTGAGAATATGAAAGCATCTGGGTTTTCACTTTTCCACACTTCCTGCTGCGTGATCAAGACTGGTCTAACACCTTTAGTATCAGTGATTAGATTAGATGTACTGTCCTTTGTTGGGTTTTGTGTACAGCGCTTAGACAATGTCTACAGGTCTGCAACGCACTGGTTAAATCATTCACATGCATCCTGTGTTCACCTACAAAAAGACAATATTGCATCAAACAAAAGAAGTCATTATCTCCTTCTGACATGTCTTCCTGTTGAAAACGACCCTGTCTGAGTGAGTTAACACTCTGGTGTGACCGTTTAACTGAGGCAGAGCACACACACACACACACACACACACACACACACACACACACACAAACAAACACGGACCTGATGTCAACATCACATCTGTTGCCCTATTAGTGAAGTGACAGTTCAGACAAAAATGAAATATGAAAACTCTGTCATCCTTTACTCACCCTGAAGATATTGATGAATGTATGTGCACCAACAACAAGCGGATCCCACTGACTTACATTGTGACATTTATCATAATTTTTTTGTGAACTATCTCTCTAAGTGTATCTGCATGAACGTCAGATACATTCAGAGGGTGTTATTCTCAGCTGGAAAGTAACTGTACTTAAGTTCATTCGAATCATTCCCAACTTCAATAGGGTATTGAGAGGTTGAGGAAGCTTTACACCTGGGGAGTTCAGTGTAAATATACTGATATACTGATAAACAACAGAGACATTTATAATGTTACAAAACATTTCAAATAAATACTGTTCTTTTGAAGTTTCTATTCATCAACTGTACCATGGTTTCTACAAAATTATGAAGCATCACAAATGTTTTCTGCATTAATAATATAATAAATGTTTCGTGAACAAATCAGCATATTAGAATGATTTCTGATGGATCGTGTGACACTGAAGATTGGAGTAATGATGCTGAAAACTCAGCTGTACATCACAGGAATAAATAACATTTTCAATTGTATTAACATAGAAAATATTTATTTTAAATAGTAATAATAGTTATTAATACGAATGAATATATTAATTAATATTTACGATATTGCTGTTTTTACTTATTTCTGAGCATATGAATGCAACCTTTGTGTGCTTAAAAAACATTTTTTAGGTAGTGTATAGTGTAAGTGTGTGTGTATGCAGCTGTGTTGGTGTGGGGATTCATGCTCCAGCCTGTTTCCATGACACTGAGCTTTAAAGACTTACAAAAGCCTGAATTCTCTGACATCAGGAGAGTAAATTGAGTCTGCTGCTTAGAGCCGTATTCCCGCCAGCTCTAACTCCAGACCTTCTTGCCCTTCCACGGCTGTTGGACTTTCCAAACAGGTACGATTGCCAGAAACAGTAAGCTATTGTCTGCTTAATTTCCTGCCTCACTCCAGACCGTCCCCTCAAGTGACCAGTGGGCCAAACGCAATGGTCTTTTCAGCAGCCTTGGGTCTTGAAGTGCTTCTCCCCATTCCTTTTCTACATGCATCTTTAAGTCAGATTTATAAGCCAAGAATGAGACATCCAACCTTGAAATAACACTACTTTCAGACACTTCAGAGCAGCATGTGCACAAACATACTAATTGTTCATTCCTGATGGGATTTTACAGAGAACTAATGGCTAATGGCTAGTGTCCAGTTCAGAAGCCTTGCCAAACGAGTTGGGGAACAGGGGGTCAAGCGTCTACCGGGAAAACAAATTATCACCAACATCTCTACAAGTGAGGATCACTTCAGGATTAACTGGATTTAGAAAATATTATATATATACAAGCGGATCCCACTGACTTACATTGTGACATTTATCATAATTTTTTTGTGAACTATCTCTCTAAGTGTATCTGCATGAACGTCAGATACATTCAGAGGGTGTTATTCTCAGCTGGAAAGTAACTGTACTTAAGTTCATTCGAATCATTCCCAACTTCAATAGGGTATTGAGAGGTTGAGGAAGCTTTACACCTGGGGAGTTCAGTGTAAATATACTGATATACTGATAAACAACAGAGACATTTATAATGTTACAAAACATTTCAAATAAATACTGTTCTTTTGAAGTTTCTATTCATCAACTGTACCATGGTTTCTACAAAATTATGAAGCATCACAAATGTTTTCTGCATTAATA